CCAACAGTTTCCAAGTAAATGAATGGAATATAATTGCATTTCAGCTTCAGCTTGAAAATGTAACCAGCATTAGGTTACAACTCCTGTTGAGTTTACATTCAATGGCACTTGCTTATTAGAGACTATTTTGGGTCACTGCACTATTTGTATATGGATTTCCAGTTCATGGACATGTAGTTTGTCGTCCTGCATAGATCACTCCAGTGGTGTACTCTGACCTCTCATACCAAAGACATCCTCATACTAATGTCAGGTATCCATTTACCTCATCTTAAGTTTGCTCTATGCCCTTGGGGCCAAATCTATCACTATGTGCAAGGGCTCTGTAACTCCCTCACGACCCATGAGCGCTCTATAAAAAGCCAAGCCTGACCAGAAGAACTGAGTGCATGAGGCTCAACAGCCACATCTGGGATTTGGTTTGGGCAAAAATATGCCAGTATTCTAATTTCTCCAGAAATAACCACTGGCAACAGAATATCCCTAGAAGCAAATTAAATCTTCTCTCACATCTATACTTGTTTCCATGGAAATATGCAGTGACAAGGTTTTTCCCCTCATGTTCTTTGCCAGCCTACCATATTTTTTTCTTCAAACAGCCCTGGTAATTGAATAGGTTCTCCCAAATACAAGAGAGCTGTTCAGTCTGACCCCAAGACAGCATCCATGCAGCAACACTGCTTCCAGTCCTTAATACACAGAGAGACAACTCTTTGCAAATCCTTTCAACCAGGGACCAACAAAACCTTTTCATTACTGAGGACTAACTGGTTTTGATGAGACAGTAAACACCATACACTATGGTGTTACCCAGCAAGATGAACACAAATAACAACTCACTGTCAGCACACTGGCCTTAGACTCCAGCTTTATATTAGAGTGAAGGATATAGTATTTGTAGTGCAAGTCTGTTCCCAGTGGCTGCCAAACATTTGGCTTCTGGCAGTAGCCCTCTGCACTGCCCCTTACCATATGTCGCCATCCCCAGCTACCTCCTCTCATCCCCTCTCTTCTCTGCTTCCCTGCTCTGTGCATCTGCCCCAGCCAGAAGCTCTGTTTCCCTAGAGACTCACATGAAGTGGCTGAGGCCCAGCCACAGATGACACATTAAGCAGAGCCTCTGGGCTGTGAGTGGTGGGGACAGTGCCTTGGCTTTGGGCAGATACTTTGAAGTTGCTCAGGGTGCTGTTTCTTCACTGCACAGGAGCAGCCTGGAAGGGGGCTGAAGAACAGCACCTATGTCCCAGGGGAGGAGGGAGGCCTTGCCTGCATCTCCTCAGCAGGCAGTCTGTGGCAGCAGGAGAGCAAATGCCCATCCTGCTGCCAAAGGAGGAAGGGAAAGCCAGGCAGTGCTAGGAGTGGCAGAGAAGAAGCACAGAGTGACAAAGATCAAAGTCAAAGATGTATAAAAGGAGGCAACAGTGAAATCTCACAGAGAAGAACTTTGGCTTTTGTCAGGTTGTTACACTGACCTTGTGGCATGCTGGGTTTTGGACCTTGGCTATCAGGCAAGCTCAGTGTGTAAAGTCTCATGGAACTTTATGTTCAGCATTATCACTTAGCAGGCTGCAAAGTCACTCAAGTGGATGGGCTGCAGGACTGTAAACAAAGGATTATGGCATGTGACAAGTGGCTATTCAGAGGAAAGGGACCAAGGGTATAATGGCGATGGGAATCAGTAAGAGCTTAGATTGAGTGCCTCAATAAAGTCTTAAACTAGTGCTTAAACCATCCGGCTGGCAGAGGAAGGTTGTGCTGGAGAGGCTCTGGTGTGTGCTAGGAGAGGTGCAGGAGCTGTATCTGGGCAGGGAAGGGACATGTTTGGGCAGATGCTTGGTGCCTGTACTCCAGCAGCAGCTAGGAAGAGAAGGACACTATGCCTAGGAGATGCCAGCAAAAGCTGTGTCAGAGGGCTCCTTACTCTCCTCTCCCCAAGGCACTTTCCCCCTATTCTCAGGGCTCGGGAAGGTGCAGGAATATTCCAGTGCAAAACCGGGAAGAGTCTAAACAGAGAGAGTAGGCTGAGAGCTTGAGCAGCTAGGTCGGGATCCTCCCAACAACAGTGTAAACGCAGCCTGAGACAGAGTAGAAATTGCAAATTGGATGAAGGCAGGATTCAACCTGGAAAACAAAAGCTATTTAGCAAGGAATAATAATTCACTAACTAAAGTTCCTCTTGGCAGAGGGGAGAAGAGTTCTGGAAAGTCAAATTGTGTTGATCTAACCTTAGGAGAGCTAGAAAATCAGAGAAGGGGACACTAAGAGATTAGTTAGAGAGGAGAAAGGCAACACACAGGCACCAGGACTGTGCACATAGCTACTATGCCAAGGCAGCACAGAGGTAAGTGCTGGGCAGGAGCCCACTGCTCTGTTCAGGGCTGTGACTACCATTAGAGCCTGACACACTGGGAGGAGATAAGAAAGGTGATAGCTCCTTGTGCAACTACAAGGCATTGATTTGTGATGACAGTATGAGTTCCTTGTCTCTGAGGGGATATGGAAACAGTTTACAAACATTTGTAGGCATATGCTCAAGCAGGAGAGAGTGCAAATTACTTACTAGAGAAGATAAAACAAAGAGTGGGAAAACCAAAGCACAAAGTGACTTACAAGATTTTACCAATGAGCTGCAATAGGTTGTGAAATAGCTCTCACAAGAAGAGCAGGGAAGAATCCAGGTATGGGCAGCTTTAAATCTGGATGGGAAGAAAGTAATTAATACATGAGCAATGAAAGGTATACAGAAGAATTTGTTGAAGTGATAAAAATATTTCCACGTGCACAATCTGTAGTCCCAATTTTCCACTGTCCTGCATTTCTTGCTATCATTAGCAGTGATGCAAAGCAGGAAAATGTTTATTAAAGCAGGAACGTAACATTATAGCACTGCTCCACCTGAGCACATAGATTTCTAGACATACCTGGCCAACAGAGAATTAGGTTTTATAATTGTGTCTGGGAAAATGACTCAGTAGCAGTGATCCTCTTCAACTCATCCAGTCATATCCTCCTGCCCCATCCAAATCTCCTTTACTTTTCATGAGGTAGGGATATGATTCCATGTTTGGACAGTGTGTGTTAATGTCTCCTAAAGTCAAATCCAGCTGCTTCTAAAAAACTCCCGATTAATCCCTTTTTAATTGCCTTTGGGAGACCACCTCCTTATGAGGCCCCCAAAGATTGACAAGGAAACCTGAAGAGATCAAAGCCCAAATACAGTCCCAATGAAGGTTGAAATAGCCACCTGCCAGAAATTTGGAGAAGCTCACACCTTACCTGGCATATATGCTTACCAGCTTAATATTTCCCATGAGGAGGGAGCACAGTCACGGCTACAGTGCTACAGCAAGTATGAATGGTTAGCCCCAACAGAGAGCTGTTCCCTGGACTGAGGATGTTTCACGTAACTAATTACCAAGCTTTATAACCATCCCCTGCAAACTATCATGATGATGAATGAATGAGATCAGACTAGCCCATATGGTTTATTGGTGGAATTTGCCCACCCGCTGTAGATGCATCATTACTCTGTGTACGCATCAGCATGGGGATGAGCACAGTTCAGCGTCTTTGCCTATACAATATGAAATCACAACCAACCTGCAGCTCCTCAGCTTTATCCCAAGAACTCCTCAGGCCTTTTTGGTGTTCTTCTGTTCCTCTGTATCCTTGTCCTGGGCCAGTCCTTTGGTGAATGCCATGTCCTTCCTTATTAAAGTAAAGCATAGTAAGCTGCACCTATAGAAGTTAAACAAGAAATTGTTGAAAAACTTTGAATTCATAACACAGTGGCTAATGGTGCGTTGACTACTCTAGTCCTCTGCCTGACAAAATCAGAGTTGCTCCACTATGTGGCACAGATGCTCTGCAGCTCCACAAGCAGCAATGATCCTCTTTTTGCTGACTGATATTTCCAGAGCAGAGCATTTCTCAACTCCACTGAGGCTGTTGAGCCCAGGAACCTTGTAGAAACAGGGGATATTTCAAAGTAACTGCAAGCACCATGTTCAGAGTAGGTACCCAAAAAGGTGTACTGTATTGCCTGACACATCCCTGCATCAAGCAATACCTTGCATTAGCACTAAAGGGAATAGGATTTCATGGATGGAAACTGCTTTGAGCTGAAATCTGAGAGCTGTACCATTCCTTTCCGGCTCTGAATTCCCTAGGCAGTCCAAGACAGGCACCTTCATCTCCCTGTGGCTCAGTAAAACTGGGTTAGCATCCCCTCCTCCTTCTTACATCACTTTTATCCTTGCCTATATTAACGGTAAATAGAGACGGGCTTGTTTGTGTGCGGGCACAGTGCAAAACGGAGGGCACGACCGTGAAAGTGCTGCTCCTATGGGGAAGGTCTGCAGGGAAAGATAAGCGCTCGGAGGGCCAGGTGCAGAGCAGGATGCAAGGATGCGCACGCGGGGAGGGGGACGCCTGCAGGGAATGACACATGCGAGGCGGGCCGGGCGCTCGCTCGCCGCCCGAGCCAGGAAGACCCCCCAACAACCAAAACGCTGCCCCCGGCCCGGCCCGGCGCCG